AACTAAAATTGTTCTTTGCATAATTGTCCGTGTGTAATTGTTGTTATTTTTTGTAATAGTTCATAAACCTAACTATTGAACAGAAAAAAAAATTATATTAAAAAATGGTCAATTTGTCGTATATTCATATTGGGGACAATAATAAAGAAAATAGCTATGAAGATGAAGTTTTGTCCCTTTCTTTATTTTTAATTTCAGACCATGTCATTGTCATGTAGAAGCCATAACATCCGATTAATTTCGATCACAATGAATCACCGCAACCGTCGCGATGATTTTTTAAACCACCGTCGCCATGCCGAATCGACGGCCACAATCGCGATTTTCTCTTCCACCTCCATGTCGAAACTACGACCACCGTCGCGATGTCAAAACCTTCGCTGTAACCACGACCATAGTTTCCTTCGGCATCATGTTGATTCAGATCGTAATCACCACCATCGCAGCCACGATTTTCGAGACCACCATCTTCATGTTAGAGGCCACAGCCATAACCGTGATTTTTTCCTCCCCCTCCGTAACTGCAACCATAAATCTCAAGGTCTCTTTCTTATGTCAGAGAAAGAAAAAGTCTTGGTCTACATAGTTGCGTATGAATTTCAAGGTGTCTTCCTTATGCCACAAAATCTCGTTTCTTCGACGAATCCATTGTGATTTTGTGACGGCGTCGTAACCTTCACTGCTTAGGCAAGATCAATATCGGTAATATTGTATAATATATACAAAATATCGTAGCCAAGCGTTTTAATGGTTAGACCGCTAATTATTAAATTTTTGGTTGTTATTAGCCATAATTTTCTTTAAAAAGGATCAATTTGTTGTATATTCATATTGGGGACAATAATAAAAAAAATAGCTATGAAGATAAAGTATTTTAATGAGTAACCATATGTTCTAATAAAATCTCAGTTTTATCCCTTTCTTTATCTTCAATTTCAGACCATGCCATTGTCATGTAGAAGCCATAACATCTGATTAATTTCGATCACAATGAATCACCACAACCGTCGCGACGATTTTTTAAACCACCATCATCATGCCGAATCGACGGCCACAATCGTGATTTTTTCTTCCACCTCCATGTCGAAACTACGACCACCGTCGCGATGTCAAAACCTCCGCCGTAACCACGACCATAGTTTCCTTCGGCATCATGTTGATTCAGATCGTAATCACCACCAATACATCCACGATTTTCGAGACCACCATCGTCATGTTAGAGGCCACAGCCATAACCGTGATTTTCTCCTCCCCCATAACCGTCATATAACATATTTCTCAAGGTCTCTTTCTTATGCCAGAGAAAGAAAAAGTCTTGTGTCTACATAGTTGCATATGAATTTCAAGGTGTTTTCCTTAGGCCACAAAATCTCGTTTCTTCGACGAATCCGTTCTGATTTTGTGATGGCGTCGTAACCTTCACTGCTTAGGCAAAGTTAATATCGGTAATATTGTATAATATATACAAAATATCATAGGCAAACGTTTTAATAGTTAGACAGCTAATTATTAAATTTTTGGTTCTTATTAGCCATAATTTCCCTTAAAAAAACCATAATATAGACTTTTTATTTATTTTTTTGGAATGAAGCAAACGAAAACCATATTATTATGGGAGTAAAACTAGAGTAACCGGGCTGCGAGTTACTGATAAGCGACAAACTTCTTCATGGGCCTTTTGCATTTCTCGCACGTGACAACTCTCACTGTCGAACCCTCCTCAAACGGAACCACCACCGTGTGACTCTCTTCACACGGCTTCTCCGCCGCGATTTGAATCGCCTCCGTGAAACCAAGTCCCGTCGCATATTCTCCCCACCGCAGAATCCGCCTCATCCTCTCCGTCATATTCTCTCCGTCTACCCGGACGATTTCTCCCGTCGATCCCTTTCCAATGATACCCCAACCCTTGCGTGTACCGTAATCGAAGTCAAGGAGTTTGGTGACTTCTTCAAACACGCGATCGGATTTCGATGATTCACTTCGCTTGAGTTTTGATCGTTTGATGCTCTCTAATCGTAGCCAGAAGAGCTGTTGTATAGCTGGACTGAACAAGATGGAGCTCTCTTCCATGGCTGATTCAGAGGTTATTGTGCGTTTATTGAGGTAAATCAGCTCAAACTGGAACCCTTGATTTTGAATTCTTCGTGCTAGTGACTTGAATTCGTCCACCCAATTCGAATTCTCGCTTCCGAATATGCAGATTTCTCTCCCTTCTTTCACCTATGATTCGTAGAGTTAGAAAACTCGATGTATTGGTTTCACAATCCGATCAGAAAAATTGGAAATTTTCGACAATAGACGAGAAAATTTAGAAAGGGGTTGCTTTACCCATGTCTCGAATGCAGGATGAATGCCTTCCAGTAAGAGCTGCATAGACCATCCATCTTCTTCCCAAAGTTCATCTTCTCTAGATACTGAAAATGGATATGCCCTAATACCCCATATCAACACCATATCCATGGCATTCATATTCATAACTCTTCCTTTAGGATCCATCACCACCACCATTGTTTCACCATCTCGATACGGCCATTCTGTTCTTAAAAAATTCAGTACTGTAGAGCTCATCAACCATGGCCGCCTTACTGAGATCCATGGTAGGGAATTGGAGAAGAAATTGAAGTTTCCCTTCTCTTCGTCTGTCCATTTTTGTGACGATGGTATTGGAATCCATAGGATCTCATAGTTTTGTTCTGTGGTTGTGTTAGATGGATGATCGTATAACTGTTGAAGCATAAAGAGAAGTGGCTCTATAGGTAGGAGTTCTGGCTTTGATAATAGCAGCAGTATTACCTTTTCCTTCAGCTCAGTTGTAGCCATCTGTCATTGGATGATAAAGAATATTGAATCAAATGAATTATGCTCTTGCGAAGGCATGATAACTTTTTAGAAGGCAAAACTGGTCACGAAATGTCTTCACGTATGAAATGTAAAAGAATCAGTCTACGTAACGTCATACTGAATGTTGCACTTCATCTTTATGTAATTGTGATGGGATGGATAAGGATGAAAATTTAGAGTAAAAGCTCAATTAAAGAAGAGACAAAAAAGAGGGAACATGGAAAAAGAGAAAGGAGGGTCCTTTCTTTGTACCTGTTTGGAGTATTGTTGAAGTTGGAAATCATCTTGTAGAGAAAAAAGTAGCTGGAGTACCTCTTGATTGTCTTGATGAGTCTCCGTGTTAATGTTTCTGAGCCTTCGATAGATTTCTTCCTCTTTGGACATGACAACAGAAAAGCAACATCAGAGATTAGTTTTGCTTTTACAGAAGCTGTGCTTTTGGAACTTAACATCAGAACATTTGAAGGTTACCTATTTGTGTACTGCATTCTTCGACCTGCTTGTTGAGGCGGGTATGTATGTTGCGTAACTGATATCCCAAACTAGACAGTTCCCCTGCTGCTCTTCTTGATTCCGTTGCCTGAGTATTTCAGAGAATTCCTAGCCATGAGAAAACTCAAAGTTGAAATGCTAATGTGATGGTACCAATTTCTGTGTTTTGTTTCTCGTTTGGTAGGGATGACAAGAGAAGGGTGGAAAAATTCACCTGCTTGATTTGCTTGAAATGAGGGATCTGCTGCAGGCATGCAAGTGCACTTTTGACAACCTGGTAAGTAGCCAGATAGATGTTAGACATGGTTTCTCCCGCGATGTTGTTGTCTAGCTTCGCTTGTTTAAATTGAAGTCTTTCAAACTCAACGATGCATTTGGTTACGTCCACCATAGCTTTAATGAGCAAGCTTAGAGAGTTTGACCATAGTCTGAAGTTAGTTCTATTGATAGGCAACTGGTTAAGTGTTGCAATTGATGCTGCGACGGGATCGCCGAAGGCTAGATGAATTGGTAGCAATAGTCGTCCATATGTTGCAGCAAGGGCTCCTAATACTAACACAGCTTTTGCATCCCATCTGTATTCTTTCAGAAGATCAAACAAAGCCATTGTTCTTGTCTGGATCTCATTCTCCCCCATGCATGGACAAAGCATCTGCAACCTCAAGATTTTCAAGATTTCCGAACGCAGGCATTTTTTCAGGAATAATTAATTGAGTAGAAAGGATGATCTGTTACCTGAACAGAGATTCTGGAGACAGCGTATGGTAGCGGTTCCTTTGATTCAGAAACTTCAATGTTGGTAATACAATCCTCTGTCAAAAGTGGCGTAGAAACCTGAAAGTTTAGTGGCATTTTAATTGTCGATCTCACATTATTTTGCCGAACAAAGCTCAAGATGGTTTCAACTTCTTGAAGCAGCATTTCAGAATCAAGCCAGCGACCGTCTGGATCATGGCTATGAAGTAGCTGATCAACTATGATATCTTCATTCAGAGCAGAGATGTTGCTTCGGAAATTCATGGTAATGGATATGTCGAAAAGTCTATAATCTGAATTTGCTTTTACTAACCACAAAGGATGTATTGTCTCTTGGTTTGCGTGATAAGACATTAGTAGGGTCTCTCAAACTGAAGATTGTTGAACAATCTGACTAGAATCTTATTCAAAGACATCAGTTATGTCTTTATCTTTTTCCGTTTTAAAATCTTCATTTATTTTTCACTGTAGCAACACTTTTAGTGATGAAAGGCAAGCACCAGATTACTCTGGTTAACCAAATGAATGAATGGAGAGGATAACCGAACAGCTTAACCTAACCGTAGCTGTAAACTCGAAAACTGATTGATTCTCACAGAGTCCAACAAGCTTCTTGTTTGAAGAACGAGTTGTATTTATGGAAAACAGATCTAATATTGGGGGAAGTGTAAGACTTGAGTTACAATCTTGTTCATTACTGAGGAAGAAGAAAAGACTTGTGTTAAAGGAAAAGTATTTCTCATCTTTTTAAAATCTGAACAGTAAAAAGTATAGTTCGAAAAGCATCAAATACGAATAAAGCAAAATCTAGTAAGAGGCATTGAAGTGGACCTTGTACTCTCCTTGATCCAAAACCTATAAAACACTTGCCCTTATGCCATTTTTTTACTTGATTTACAGTATAGATACGATCCATAAGATGTCAATTATGGTAGTGAAAACAAGACCATTTGGGCTACTGTGTCGAAGACTACAGGTTTCAGACAAGAAAGGTATATATGTTGTTTGATACACAAGGGGAAAATTCAAGAAGGCTCTTCGGGGAAGAGAGATTCAAATTGTGCAGTAAAAATTTGTAACACAAGCCTGTTGCAGCAGAACAAATATCATTTATTTACATCTCGCCTAACGAGAGAATCTGCTGTGTGTTTTTCATGTGCGGAGAATGCAAAACTGAACAGTTTATCTACAAACCTTTGAAAAGGAGAGCCTGTGATTGATCGAAAATCATTCATCGGTTATCCCCCTCAAAATAGAAACAAATGCTAGGACACTGGTCATATCTCCACCACCATTGATGAGGTCTAGTCAGGATAATGTCAGAAAACTCAAGCTGTGCTGTGAAAGATCTTGGATCACCTCGGGTTCCTTCAGCTCTTGAGAAAGTTTTCTTAATAAAGCTTGATACGAACCGAGATTGAGCTCCGGCAAATGGGGCAAACACTGAGGTCTTCCCCACAGTCTGCGCAAGTCTGCAAATAAAGAAAAGTGAACGGTTATGTTTGAAGTGCGATCCTTAGTTAACTCGGGGGTAGTTCTAGACTGGAAATGTACCTGATGACCACAGTTGAAAGCCATGTTCAATGGATTCATTAGACATATCGGGCAAACCTGTTGATGTTCGTCCAACAAAAACATGTAAATAGCGGGAAAATATGATCAATGTATCTGTTGTTTCTTTTCTTGTAACCCATTCATATGCAATACCTTGCCATCGTTACGAGCAGTTGAAGGTGGTGCAGTGGCAACACCACTATCATATGGTTGTGGTCCTCTGTTCTGAAAGCTGGTTGAACGAGAAGTTCTTGGGCTGTTGCGCATGGATTGAGTAGCATGAGTTGGTGGTGGAAGTGCAATCCTATTTGGACTATTTCCAGTTCTTCGCCTGCAAAATCAATACAGCAAAAGAAATTGGTGGTTATTGAGATCAGTTCATAGCTGCTGCAGAGATTATAGTGATGCACTAAAAAATGTGAAAGTACTCACCCGAGTAAACCTAGCTCGAGAGTGGCTTTATACTGAGACGGGATCTCCATCAAGGCAGAAAGCGCAAATTCTGCCTCCTTTCTTGCCAGATCAATGTTCTTTGACATTATCTCCGTGAAGTTTACAAACTGAAAAAAATACAAATTGAAAAACAAAAGCATGTTAGATTGATTCATTTGCCAGGKCAAGACAGAGATCTACACTATTGGAGAAAGCTTACTGGTATTATTACCTGGAAATTGTCAAAGGCACGAGCGGGGATGTTGTCATCAAACTGTCTCATGGTATCCCAGGGGCCATCTCCAACACCAACCAGAACTATCGACAAAGGATATTCACTGCATGGAATCCATCACAAGTTAGAAACACGCGGTTATCAGCAGAATGAAACTGGATTTTCCTCAATGAAACAGTATTTATTACTACCTTGCTCTAACAATGGCATCAATGGTCTGTTGCTCTTGTGGACTAGATCCCCCATTCTCTGTATCAACACTTCTTGTCACCTATCATAATAAAAGCTCCAATGGTATCTATAAAAATGTCTGAGAATGATCATAATTGAATCCAAATAGATAAATACGGTTCCAACAGAGGCTCTTTACCTGTCCATCAGCGATTATTAGAAGAACATGGTATTGACCGCCACTTTCTTCCACAATTGTCATGGCCCTTTCGATGATGGGTGCAAAAGATGTTGGACCTATTTACAGAACAGGCAAAATATCACTAAAACGTTAAGCAAGAGTAAGAACACAGGCAGTAGAAAACGGTTTCGCTATCTGATTCAACCTGCAAGGCGGAGCTGGGGAACGATCTCTCTATAACACATGAGGACTTCTTCAAACCCATTACAAAATGTATCATTGGGATTGAAACTGAAGACATCCTGATCATGGGTTGTAGCTGCATAGTAAACAAACCAGAGAAACCAACATTAAAATCTCTACTTAACAACAAATAAAAAAAGACCGGGTCTATATGGTTATCACCATCTCCAAATCCATAACAAGGGATCAAATTATCCTCATCAAAAACCGATAAAGTCTTTCCGATGATGGAAATAGCTTGCTGGTAAGGGTTTGGAGTTGTTCCAATGTAATGCAGGCTCTTCCTACCGAAAGATCTCGCCCCTAAACCAAATCACCTGAGTCAGCTCTCATATCAAAGTAGCATTAACTTAACCTATACATAGAAATAACCTTCTCTAACCTGTCCACTCGTTGCTCTTTGTGACATCAATACCAACAATCAGATTCGAAGACTCCAAACCGGCATGTGAAAGAGCAGCAGTAACCTGTTAAGAGAAAGAAAACCAGTAAAACACCAATTATAGAGAAATCCACACAAACCAAAGCTTCAAAAACTAAACAAAAGAAGTGATTCAAACCTCATCGATGGAACGGTAATTATCAGCAATCCGTGAGTACTTCCTCTCAAGATTCTTCTGAGTTTGCCAACCAGAATTGTAAGAGGAGGAGACAGGACTTGCAGATGGATGGTTTGGTGTGTGATAGTAGCTGTTCTGGTCACCCCAAGCAGTAGAAGACGAGCTTCCAGACACACTACGAGAATACCTCCGACCGCTTCCTCCTCTGTTCGATTCTTTAGAGCTACTTCCTCCCATTACAGACAACCAAACCCAGAACAAGATGAACAACACAATCGCCTGCAACACTTCAAGCATATGTCAAAATTCAGATAACCCAACAAGATAAAGAAAAACCCTTCTTTTATGAATCAACCACACACACGCACACAACAAATATATCTATGAGAGCTTATTGACTTGTTTTTTTCATCAAAGTCTTGTCCTTTCACATTGATTAAATATATGAGAGAGTCGCTTTCAAGAAGAGGACTATAGTAGCATCGCCGTGGATTACAAGGAAACTCTGAGAGTTTTTCCGGCGAGAAATGATAAATTAAAGAGGAAACCCAATTCGGAAAATTACAGGAAACAAAGGAATTGATTACGAAATTGACTCATTCAAAGCATTGACTTCCTTCGAAACTTCCATTGGGGTTTAAACTAATCGAGAGAGAATATTAATGGGCAGAGACTTTACCTGCAAATCGAATCTGGGGAAGGATTTCTTGTCAAGTTGATTTTTTCAGTAGAATAGAAGATTATTAGATTTAATCACAAAATGGTACCATTTATTTTGTTATTATTTGTCTCCACTATATAGAAGTGTCAAAATAATATCTACCCTAGCCGCTAGAGAGAGAAAGAAGAAGCGATCTTGTGTTTGGCTCGGCCGACGGTCGGAGGCTCTGTTAGCTCCGCCATCGGTCGGGTTTGGTTCCTCAGACTCTGTTGGTATCGGCTTTTGTAGTTTTCGGCGAGGGGGTCTCTTGTGTTCCGGTGGTGAGATCTCGAGGTCTAGCCTGGTGAGTGATCGAGTACAGTCGGTGCTTCTTCTCGGTTCGCCGGCTAGTTTGTCAGTGAGTCTTGCGGTGAATCGGCTACTCGCCTGGTGGTACAAGGTATCAGTCTCTCTGATTCATAGCTTGCAGGTCCAGATCTGCTGGGTTCTTGTCCTTTGGTATCGATTTGGGTTGGTATTAGGCGGACTCTAGTTTTGTAGCTCAGTGTCTTTGTTGATTGTGATTGTGGAGAGTCTCATTCTTGTTGCCGATGGCCTTGGAGATTTATCTTTCTCGATGCAGAACTCCTTTAGTTTGCTTTAGCGATCAATCTATGTATGTCTAGGTTAATTGTTTTCACTGAGTTTGGTCCAAGTTATATCTCCTCCGGATGATCTGTGTGCTTTTGCCGTCGTTGTCTCCTGGTCTTGCTTAAGGTTAAGGTGTTGTCTTGGTGCTGCTAGTTATGTGTGGCTCTTTCGTTGGTGAGAAGATGATTTCGAGGTTGTTTCCTCGCCTAGGTGGTTGTTTAGTATCTTCTCTATCCGCTTCTCGAATAATTCTTATATTGGCATTTATGCATATACCAACGCCAAGCCTTCGAGGTTTGGGTTGTATTCAATATGAAGATGTAACGCCCGCGAACCAATTATGTATTTTTGGTTCGGGTGTCGATCGATACCAGCTCGATTTGAACTAGCGGATTAAGTTTTTAATCGCTCGGTTAGGCGGGTTTTGACTAGAAACCCGAGTTGTTTTGGTTGAAAATCGTGTTGCTGTGTTATATATTTTTAGTAGTCAAAAAGAGTTATAAAAGTCAAAAAGGGGGGGGACCCTCGTTTTAGGGACCCTTGTTTTGTGGGAAAAGTTGAGTCATTAAGTGAGCAGCAGAGTT